TGCAGCGAGTGGCGACTAGAGGTTTACGCCGATAGATATTGCGGCGGCAGCGTCGTCAATCTTAGAAATAATCGGCGACGCCGGGTCTCAATTAGCGCCGGCGCATCTGGCCATTAGCCGCATACCTAATGTGCACGGCGGATCCAGAATTTTCTGATGGGGAGCGTTTTGCGGGAAATTTTGCCCCTTATTCTAATTACCTTAAACGAGCAATTTTTGTGTATATGTATATGTATCCATAAGTTTCTCGGCAACGGCTCTAACGTAGCAAAATGAAAAATTAAAAATAGAATTATTAGCAAAAACCAACAATACCAACAACCACATGATCAAGTGAATTGCAGCGGAATAGCTGCGCTTGATTGTGTTGGCATAACAAAAATGAAAATAGTGGAAAAAAGCAAACGATAATTTAAAAGGCGTACTTAGCACGGTGCATAGGCAACCGGCTGAGTCAGTGGGATCGTCGGGTCGGTTTGAAGCCTACTGAAAGAAGTCTGATGAGGAAATGTGGTGTCTTCCGAAATAGCTATCACTTCTACCATTTTTTCAATTATTGTTGCTTTTCCACAACAAGTTTTTCATTAAAAAGACGGCCTCGAGCTCAATAAAAATTGTTGAACATAATTGTTATAAGGCCATAAAATAACAAAGACAAAAAAAAAACAATATAAATATATATAAAATAACCAAACGCATTTCTTGTCCAAGTCATCAGATCTGCACCGTTCGTTCGATTTTCGAAAATGAGGTGTCAAATAAAATAGCTTTGGCGTTAGATGCTAGGACTTGTCGTTGATTTTTGGTAATTTATGTATGTTCAAAAAAAATTTTTATATGAAAAAAATGCGGAGCACCGTCAACCAAAAAAAATGCCAAAAATGCACTTTGTTATACTAAAATTTGATGGGATACAAAACTGAATACCAAACTTTTGTCTAAATATGCTGATCAAGAAATTAGAAATTTTGGTCAAAATTTGCAGAATTTTCATAATTTTTGCACAAAGTCTGAAATTTGGATGTATATCGTGTTTTCTATGTAATCAGCTATACTTTCATAAAAAAGTTATAAACATTATTTACCCTAAAGAAAAATAGCTAAAACTTACTAAAATACCGCGTCCCAATTTTTATTTGGTTTACTGTATGTGTACCTCGGTAACTGATTTATCCCCTTCCAAAAAAACGCGTAAAAAACATATGGTGCGTTGTTTGAAAACGTTGAACCACGTTGGATTTTGTATTCTAGCAGCTAAAGGAATGTATACTAAAAATTTCACATATGTGCTCACGATTCAAAAAAGAAAATCTCAAAAAATCAAACCATCGAAATTGTTTGTACATGAAATATGTAAATACTTTTCCTCTTAAGGTGATCCGCCTTAATATAACATTTTTGGACATGCATTTAGTACGACGGCTTCAAAACTACAACATTGGGGTTTTTGTCTTAGCTTAGTTAAATTTTAATACTAAACTTATACAACTACAGTGTTTTCTAAACAGTATTTAGTTTGCGGAATTACACTAAAAATGTGGTCAAACAAGTTTGAAATGCTGCTCCCGCTGCAGCAACAAATATGGTAGTGGCAACAATACCTGCTTGCATTAACCAATTTAGACAAGCAGAGCAGAGCAAATTAAAGGTGTTCGCAATAACGCGGATACAAGCTACCATGTAACTGCTGGTTGGCTGCTTCTGCTTTCGCGGAGGTGGGTTTTGGTGTGACGCACTGCGCAGACGATCGACCCGCTGAGAAGTGGATTTGCCTGTCGCAGCTATTTTTGCGATAAATTATAGAAATTGTAAAAGACGGCCGAAACGTGTAGTTTGCGTTAATTTATCGATCGGAGTGGACGTCTAAGAAAAAGTGTTTGGAAATTCATGTGCCATAGGAAAACTCTAATCTGTAGGCAAAAGTGGATGAAACACATAGTGGGTGTAAGATAAACGGAAATGAAAATAGAATGTGGAACACCAACCTGTGAAAAGCATAACTGAAATTAGTTCAAAGTCAATTTGTGGTTTTTGTTTTGCATGGGCTTGGGGCAACGGAAAATTTTTGTGTAACGAAATCAAAGTTATGAATTGCCCGTGAAAGGTGTACGAATAGATACGGTTTTATGTGCATAAATTCAGATGTACGGTCTAAATATAAATAAAAAATATATGCATACATACATATATAAATTCGTGCATAGGTGTAAACATGCATGCAACATATGTACGTCGTTTCCACACCGTAGTGACTCAAGTGACATTCTATTTAGTTTTTAGCGTTGTTAAGCTATCTATCTGCGATGTCCAGATGAGTTCATATGTATATACAGTGAACTCGCGATAATATTAACATCCTAACATATGAACATCTCAAAATAGGAACACTTTTTCGCTACCATTGACTACTTTAAAATATGAACTTTAGGCAAAAGCTCCAAAATATGAACATTATTGTTTTGAAAAATTTCTAACGAATTTCAAGCACTTGGTAATTTGAGGAACCTCCTAGTTATTTGCATTGAACATGTCCATACGTGTCGCTCGGAAATGCTTACAGCGAATAACTTCATGTTCGGTTTTCTTATTGTTAAATATGCCTCAAACATGTGATCCAAAATTTTAAAGTTCTTTTAACTGCAAGAAATCAACTTTATTTGTTAAAAAAAACCTGATTTAGAAAAAAAAATTAATATTGCAAAGTAAGTTTTGTATTTCGTTTATCAAGTCTCGGCTAATAGAAAGTTTGTGTTTTGTATGAGTTTGTTTGGAAATCTTGAAAATCGGTTATTGTGGTAGACAAGAGGTCGGTTAAGGTATTACAATACCACATTACCCTCCATAGGTGACTTTTAATTACTTGCACACCACGTTTATTCTAACTAACTAACTAACTATAGATATATACCATATTACCCTCCAATTTTTGAAGTAGGTATTTTTGGATTTCTTTTAAATTTTTTTCAATAACTTTGTTATTTTATTGTTTCACTGTTCTCGAATAATAAATAATAGTTACAATAAAGCTCGTACATTTGTTACATATGGGTGTTTCCATCGGAAGGTCCACCACGACAAAAAATAAATAAAAGTCTTATATCTAACGTATTTACGGGCCGATTTGTCTACTTTTTAAAATATATACTGGCTATGTAAGTAGAATCATATTTGCGTAAAATGGTCTTCCTAGGTGGCGCCAAGGTTGAGATATTTCGAAAAACCGTATTTATGGTCCGATTTTGTTCGAATTTGGCATATGTAGTTGAAACATAAAAAGTCATAGACTTCCAACAAATTCACCCTGAACTGGCGCTGAAGTCAAAATATACAGTATATTCTACATAAAATACATGTTTTATTTCCGTTAAAAATTCATTTAAAAGCAATATTAACAAAAATATAACGATGGAAATTTATGTCACGTGACTTTTCACACTTGGGGTTGTAAAAGAAAATTGAAACAAGTTGCATTAATTCAAAAAACTCTAAAAACAACTAGAATTGTTGCAAATCATATTAAAATAAGTTTCATGAAAATAGCCATCCACAATTCGCAGAGTTTTGCGATTTTGTAAGAAAAGAAAAAATCTACTTCCATTTTTTGTCACGTAACGACACTCTCTTTAAATGCTTATATTTCAGGACCATGCAGTTCGATTGTTTTCAATTTTCGGTTAAATATAGAGCTAATTTTGTGCTATACAATGGCCCAAAAAAGTTAAAGAAAACAAATGGTATTCCTTGTTTGTATCACGTTGAAACGTACGACTGTCACGTATGCGACGTATGGAAATACCCATAACTCAAAAAAAAAAATACCTATACCACAATACCCGAAGTTCCCCTGCATATGCGGTTTGTTTATTTGTGTAACATACGAAACGAATACAAGTTTGTTTTGAAGTTTTAAATAAAACATTTATTTTTAATTAATGAAACTTGTTTTTTTTTTTAATTCTTGAGCCTTTCGTAAATATGAACAATCTCGCAAAAGTTAACAGTCTTGGTTTTAATTAATTACATAATTAAAGACCTTCATGATGTGAGATTTTCAGTTGTCGATTTATGAAGATTTTTTAAATGAATTGAATAATCAAAGCCTAAGTGGACGGTTCTACCATCCTTTGTTTCTTTGCTAGAGCAATTTGACCTCGTTTTTTTCTTAAAATCTGGAGCTGATGGCAACTTTTTGCTTGTGGATTCGTAATCAGCACAAAAAAATCTGTTAAAAATAGCGTTAACATTTGCTGCATACAATTTTTTGCCATTTTTGTTGGCCTGTGTAATAAGGTTTGTTAAATAGCCAATACCCGCATGTTTGTGTCTCAATTGGATTGAAGAAAAATATCATATATGTTAACACAGCCAATAAGCTACCTACGTGCTAAATTTCAAGCAAATCGGACCATTAATAAGACTGTTTCGAATAGTTCGCTCTTTGACCCACTTAACGGAAAAAATGAATCCTATATACTAATCTAGGTAAAAGGCTACCAACGAACCAACTGCATTTTTTTAAGCATAGCTCGACCCCTGCGCCAACTATCGGAAAAATTAAAACTTAGTGCACTCCTTCTTCTAAACACGTTTCTAAAAAAGCAGCAACCATTCGAATCGGTTATGAAACATTGGAGAAAATTGTTCCCAATTGATTCAAGCTCCCAATGAATTTCACAATTATCCGAAATTTTCCAAGCTTTCGTCGAAAAAAATTCAAAATTTTTGCGTTCTTCCGGATTTTTCCGAGTTTTCCACTTAGAATTTTCTATTTTTCCATTCGAATGCCATTCCGAAGGAATTGCACACAAAATTCCATAAAAAAAACAATTTTCGATTTTTCCAATTTTGCGACTTTCCCGGAGGGTTTTCCCAAAATTTTCTTTCGTAAAAACCTTCTCCTGGCAATTACCCTGTAGGGAAGCGAACTAGTGCGGAACTGGTTCGGTTCTAGTGCGTTTGGAACCATGACTAGTACGCGTTAATTCTCTTTTGCATGCTAGCGACTGGCGAATTTAGCATTGCGATGTCCTAGGAAGTGTCAATTGTCCCCCATTGCATCCCTTTGGCTCTGGTTCCGAACCAGTTCTAAATTCGACAGATAAGATCTAGTTCATTTTGCATCCCTTTTTCTATAGTTCCAAATTCGACAGATGAGATCTAGTTTGTTCTGCATCCCCTTTTCTTTAGTTCCAAACCAGTTCCTAATTCGGCAGATGATCTGCATCCATTTTTATACCCGAGCGCACTTGTGCACAAGGGTATATTAATCTTGTTCACATAACGGTTGTTTGTAACAGCCAAAACGAATCGAGATAGATATAGACAAATGTATACATAAATGCTCAGAATGAA